TGACCAGGGAAGGAGGCCACTCAAGCAAAGACCAGAATGGGGTGGACAGGGAGCCCCAGGACCAGCTGGTGAGATTCTGGGCACAGGAAACAGTGCGTGGAAAGGCAGGCACCTTCTGGAAACAGTGAGAAGGCTGAGGTGTGGGGTGGGGCGGCATCGGGGGAGGCGAGAGGGAGAAGTAGACCCTGCAGTACCCGGCAGTCCTTGGCATGGGGCTGGGACGGGGCAAACAGTAGGCCCCATAGCTCACGTCCACTGGAGCCACAGGATGGGAGCTTCTTTGCAAACAAGGTTTTTGCAGATATAATGAATTTTCTTTTTTTTTTTTTTAGATGGAATCTCGCTCTGTCACCCAGGCTAGAGTGCAATGGTGCGATCTTGGCTCACTGTAGCCTCCACCTCCCAGGTTCAAGCGATTCTCGTGCCTCAGCCTCCCGAGTAGCTGGGATTACAGGTGCGTGCTACCAGGCCTGGCTAATTTTTTTTCTATTTTTAGTAGAGGCGGGATTTCGTCATGTTGGCCAGGCTGGTCTCAAACTCCTGACCTCAGGCAATCTGCCTGCCTCAACCTCCCAAAGTGCTGGGATGACAGGTGTGAGCCACCGCACAGGCCTAATGAAGGTAAAGATCTTGAGATGAGATCATCCTGGATCTGGGTGGGCCCTAAATCCAGTTTTCTTCACAAGGCACAGAGACACAGAGAGAAGACAGCCACATGGAGACAGAGGCAGAGGCTGGAGGGATGTGGCCACGAGCCGAGGACCCCTGGAGCCCCCAGGAGCTGGTCGAGGTAGGCAGGGTCCTCCCCTAGAGCCCTCGGAGGCAGCCAGCTCTGCCCACACTTTGACTTCAGACTTCTGGGCTCCGGAACTGCAAGAGAGGACATTTCTGTGGCTTTAAGCCACCAAGTCTGTTGCGTTCTGTAAGAGCTGCTGTAGGAAAACAAGCACAGGTGTTTATTTTACTTTTTGGGTGATAAGCAGAGTCTTTGGAGAATTCTGAGCAGGGGAGGAACTTTTGATGATATCTTCTTTTTTTTCTCTCTTTTTTTTTGTTTGAGACGGAATCTCGCTCTGTGGCCAGGCTGGAGTGCAGTGGCACCATCTCGGCTCACTGCTGCCTCCACCTCCTGGGTTCAGGTGATTCTCCTGCCTCAGCCTCCCAAGTAGCTGGGACTAAAGGCACCGGCCACCATGCCCGGGTAATTTTTGTATTTTTAGTAGACATGGAGTTTACCATGTTGGCCAAGCTGGTCTCAAACTCCTGACCTCAGGTGATCTGCTCGCCTCAGCCTCCCAAAGTGCTGGGATTATGAGCCATGGCGCCCGGCCTAAAAATTACATTCTTAATACTTTTTTTTTTGAGACAGAGTCTCACTCTTGTCTCTCAGGCTGGAGTGCAATGGCATGATCTCGGCTCACTGCAACCTCTGCCTCCCAGGTTTAAGCCATTTTCCCGCTCAGCCTCCTGAGTAGCTGGGATTACAGGCATGCGCCACCACACCCAGCTAATTTTTGTATTTTTGTAGAGATCACGTTTCACCATGTTGGCCAGGCTGGTCTTGAACTCCTGACCTCAGGTGATCCACCCGCCTCGGCCTCCCAAAGTGCTGGTATTTGTACAGGCGTGAGCCATCTCGCCTGACCATAAAAAATATTTTTAAAAAGTGAGCAAACAATTTGAACAGATACCAATAATGCCGATATATGGATGACAAAAAAAGATGAGAAAACGCTAATTACTCATCGGGGAGACGTCGATGAGGAGCACAGGGCAGACTCTGCACACTCCCCAGGATGACGGAATGCCCGCGGTCCTGCCCGGGCTTTCAGCGGAGAAGTCATCGTTGGAATCTGGACTCCATTCTGCGGGAGACACTCAGCAGCTGACAGAAGCCACCAGTGCCCACAGCGCCGGGTTGAGTCTCAGAATAATGATGCCAGGCCGGGCGCGGTGGCTCACGCCTGCAATCCCAGCACTTTGGGAGACTGAGGCAGGAGGATCAAGAGGTCAGGAGGTCAAGACCATCCTGGCTAACACGATGAAACCCTGTCTCTACTAAAAATACAAAAA